GCTGAACTATAACCGTTTTCAAGGTATACCACGGTTTGGAAAAGTCTGCAAAACTGCAAAAGTTTTCTGTTACATCGTTTATAATGTATATGTGGTTTTTTTTTTTGGTTTTTTTTTTACATGTTTTTTACGATTATTTTATTTAGTTTTTTTATATATATAAATAATATATATATATAAACATTTTTCTTTCTTTAAACTGTAATGTTATTAGTATTTTTTTATTTAAGTAGCAGTAGAAACTTCTTAATAAAAAACATTATACGAATCCTACCAACTCCAAAAATTCTAAACAGAAGTCTACTCTGGTCTAAAAGTGATGAAACATTCATTCATTCATTTTCCTTTGGCTTAAGGTGCTTTCACATCTGTGGTTTGTTTTATTTGGTCTGGACCAAGGGCAACAAACGATACATTGCAGCATTTTTCTGCCGTTTTTGCTTCCTTTTCACACCACATTGTTTGCTTTCATGCAGTCATGTGACCTAATCCACATCACTCATTGGCCAGATGTTATTGAACACATTTCCTACACTGCTTTTCGACTGGTCAGAATTAATGTGCAAATCGGCAGACACAAAATATTGCTTTTACTATGGAGGGACGACTGTTCTGGCTGATTGTATCCCTGGTCATAGTATACTATTAGCATAGTATACTATTATTATAGTATAATGTTAGTATAGTTAGTATACTTCACTTTAGACAAACTTTTTCGAGAATAATGCGCGGCTGCGGCTGGAAAACAATGTTTTAATGCATTGCAAATGGCGAAGGCTCATCGCAAGTCACTTAAGGAGAAGGTGTCAATAATTTAGCTTATCTGCGACATTCCGGTTGTTTTCCGAAAAATATTACCAACGATTCATCAGGTAATGTTTTTGCCTATTAAAATGGTTGATAAAGCGCTGTCAACAAATATTTTTCCTCCACATCTCACAATGCACTGCGCATCAAACTACGGCAGCTGGAGTAGTCCAAAAAGTTGCAGTACTTTTTGCGGATGGGTCTGTTCTAGGTTCGGATCATGTTCTCACCACAAAAAAACGAACCGCTCCAGTGTATTTTTTTGTCCACTTTTGGTGCGCACTTAAGTGCGAATGCTACATTCACACCTGCCCAAAGGAACTGCACCAAGAGAGAAAAAGAACTCTCATGTAATTCAAATAAAATAATTAAGGCAGGTATGAAAACACCCTTGGTCCCTGATTATCAGGGGTCACCACAGTGGAATGAACCGCCAACTATTCTGGTATAAGTTTTACACAGCGGATGCCCTTCCAGCCACAACCCAGTAATGGGAAACCCCCAAATACTAAGCCATTTTAGTTCATCCAATTTAACTTTAGCGCATGTCTTTGAACTGTGAAGGAAATCGGAGCACTCGGACGAAACCCAAGGCAACACGGGGAAAACATACACACTACTCACAGAAATGCCAACTGGCCCAGCCAGGATTCAAAACCATTGAGCCACTGTGTTGCGGTGATGAAACATAAACGTTTTATACAAGTCTCAGATTTGAGGACACTATACTAACTGCATCAAGAGGTTTGTTTAATGTGATTGCTGTGCATATTTTAAACGCTGTGTAGTTTGTTTCAAAAAGCAAAATGATACATTTGGTCACTGGTCTGCTTAGCATTCACTTAGCATCTGATTATCCAAAACAATGCTGCGTGCTGCTAGACTAAACATGCTTGTTGTGTGTGAATACAGGTGATATAAACTTTTTAGGTGTGAGCTAGTGAAGAAGAGCTTATAAAATGTGCAAGGAAGACAAAACAGCCCCAGGAAATCCTCAGTCAAACACACCAACGAGATGAATTTCCGACGCCTATATTGAACATCACAAACATGATGAGAAGAGCATTCTGTCCTCTGTATGTGACATCAAGTCCTGTTTTTGGTTCGTTTTTGATCCATGCTTATTTCTGTTGATGTCTCCACACCAGAGCTCATTTACAAGTGGACCATGACTAAGATGTCACTTCACTTGCGTTCACACTCATTTAGATGATCGAATTAGCAAAGCAATCGCACCAGAGATCATTTCAATCAAACCTGCCAAGTGTAAACACACTCTAAAGTGCACACACTAGCGCACACAATATTTTAGTATATGGGGAAATGAGAATAAACAACATTAAGATCTTTGAAAAAAGTTTTTTAACACAGAATCTAGTACAGAAGAATTTGAGAGAGATGATATCGCATTATTCACGCATACTCAGAAAGCTGAGTCACTCTGACTGCTGCTGCACTAAAACACACACATACACTCAATCATCCGGTCGTGTTGACCACTCAACTAAACTATTAAGCATTGCACATCCTCAGCTTACATGCATTCACCAATGTGTCACAGAGACTGGCCCTCGTTTACTTCTACGGAATTATATCTGAATTAGCGTGACTGTGTTAACCATTTTTTTTATTTAAAGTCCAATCACAAGGTCTACATTGTGTCGGTAGATATTACCTACAACATGCTGTTAATTACCACAAAATATTATGCTGACTCATTCTTTGGTTTTCAAAAGAACTAACGGAAAACACTTAAAGAATCATATACAGCGGAAGCTAAAGAAGGGCAGAAATGAGACGCATATAGTTGAGTTAAAGAGATCTACGGTAGACATGCTTGTTGATTAAGTTGTTCAACTGCCAGAATCGAATCGTCATTCTGACTAATTTTCTATGTTAATGAATCACTATTCATTAGTTATCATCAGTTTGAGTTGTACTGTGGGTGGAGTTTGATTTACAGATAATTACACCACGAGCTTTCCATTTTGTTGACTGTCAAAAAAACTAAATTGGGGTCAGTAAGATTTTTTTTGTGTGCCTAAAGGAGTCCATTTACCCTCAAAAATAATAATAATACATAATAATTAGTATAATATTTATTTAAATTATAGAATAATAAATATTTGTTTTCAAATCATTGCATTTTACTAATTGTGTGTGTATGTATATATATATATATATATATATATATATATATATATATATATATATATATATATTATTTTATTTTAACATTAAAAACAGTTGTGTTTATTATTTTTATTAGATTATTATTTTTTATTTCCTTCGCTTTAGTCCCTTTATTTATCAGGGGTCGCCACAGCAGAATGAACCTACAACTTTTGCAGCATATGTTTTTTGCAACGGATGCCCTTCCAGCCGCGACCCAGCACTGGGAAACACTAATACACTCTCGCATTCACACACATACACTAGGGCCAATTTAGTTGATTCAATTCACCCATAGTGCATGTCTTTGGACTGTGGGGGAGAGCAGAGGAAACCCACACCAACACAGTGAGAACATGCAAACTCCACACAGAAACGCCAACTGACCCAGCCGGGGTTCGAACCAGTGACTGTCTTGCTATGAGGGCGACAGTGCTAACAACTGACCCACCATGCTGGCCATTATTTTTTTGTGAAAACAATTTTTTTTTAGGATTTTTTATTCTAGAAAGTTTTAAAAACAGCATTTACTTCTCATTTCTTTTGTTACTATATACTGTCACTTTAACTAATTTCAAGCATCTTTGGTAATTAAATGTATGAATCTATATACTGTATATAAACAATTTACTGACCCCAAACCTTTGACTGAAAATATTTGTAGATTATCCTTTAAATTAGAGTTTAGATCCAACCCTGCTTCAACACATTTACCAGTAGGTTTCAAACAAGCCTGAAGGACTCCATTACTTTGATCATGAGTGTTTAATTAGGGTTAAAGCTAGGCCTGTCACAATATCTATTATTTGTTGTACAATAAATCGCACCAAGATATATTGCAATGAACAAAACTATAGTCACTTTAAGACCATTTTATGCCTCTCATTATATTAATCCAGAATGACAATATATTATCATCAAAATGCAAGTACTGTACACTCTTCCAAAGAACACATCGTATTATATTCTTAAGAATATTTCATTTAATTATAGTCATTTTAACAATGTAGTAATGAGGCATTGGAATCAGAATGTGACAACGCATACACTAAATAAATAATAATAAATGTTCACAAAAAACGTGCAAGGCAAAAAGTAAAAGAGGCTGCGATATCTGCTACCAGATCTATTTTCAGCTGTCAGATACCCACTTGAAAATACACTATAGTAACTTATAGTAAATGCTATAGTGTGTTTTAACCATACTGACACTGACGCCTCCAATAGAGATAGAGATGTTGCACAATTTGCTAAAATGCACAATTAGCTAAAATGCTGCTATAATTGGTTTTTAAGTATAGGTGATATATTTATTGCATCACCAAAAATGACTTAGGTCATGTCCATGTGTTGTGCGATAAGTCGATATATTGATTAATATGACAGACCTAGTTAAAGCATAACTAAAGCCCTCCAAAAGCTGAGTCTAACACCTGTGCTTTAAATACTAGAGCGTAAAGTCAAAGATTGGAGTTCATAGATGGCAAATGCAGAGTTACATGCTACACCATTCAAATGTACCCCAACATCCTTCATCAAAGCTCCTCTTATCTGGCAAACATCAATAAACTCAAGCACATCTTTCCAACTGTCAGACGTTAAATGAGTCTCACTGTCAGCTTTGTTTACATTTTAAACTCCCTTTCTTCCTGTCTCTTTGGTTACAAACCAACGTCTGTGATTGTTGACAGCGCAGCTCTGGTTTGAAAACGCAGACAAGTGCGGTGTGTCATGATGCCTGCATGCAAAAGTTGCACTCGAAATTGGGCGCTCCTGGTACCGAGCAGCACAGGATGATGAGTCAACAGTTTTCTCAGAAGAACGAGCCAGAGCATCTTTCTATGATTTACGCCACACGTATGCTCAGCAAGCCTAGGTTTCTCTGTACCTTTGCACAATATGACTTCCCAGTACTGCCATAAAGGGTTGAGCGGCAGCGCAGTTCCCAGAATCTTCCACTCCCTGAATGGGCGAGGATTCATTCACATGCGCTAATAAAAACAAAATGTTAGCAAACTCACCTCTCTCCTGCACGAAGTACGCGAGGTAGAGGTCTAGCTCTTTAACGGACACGCTGATGTGATGAGGCTGGACGCAGAGGATGGGATTGGAGCACTGGCCACCTTTAACCAGTCGCTCCCCGTCTGTGCTCTCGAGCGGGATGCCCTTGAACAGGATCACCATCACCAGGTCCAGACGCCAAACTTTATCCGCCTGCCGCAGACAATCAATGCGCCTCATTTTGCCCTTCTGGTCTGGGTTCGAGAGGACGCAACATGGAGGCTTCTTCCCTGTGATGGACAGCACAAAGTCCTCTCGACACTCCGGCCGGATGTCTTTACGGAGCTTTGCGAGAAGACGTGACGCCCACTTCTGTTTAACTTCAGGCTTCTCGCCTAAAAGTTCATCCTTGACCGCGCGTTCCTCATCCTTGGTCATTCGCTTCTCATGCTTTTTGAAATACTTGCGTTTACGGGCCTGCAGGTTGAACCAGGTGTAGGCGAAGGCACGCACGTGCGGCAGCAGCGCCTCGATGAACGGATGGAATTCATCCTGGGGGAAAAACAAAAGAGAACAACAGAAGAGTTATTCATTGTGTTTGCTCGAAATCAGTGGCGGATGAAGAACACAAATCAAGCACCTAAGTGAAATGGCTAAATACTACTCCAGGAGTAAAAAGTTCTCCTTTTCTCTTTTATAATTTTAAGTTTTAAATTTTATAAAATTTTATTAAGTAATTAAGTATTAAAAGTGAAAAGATTAATATAAATTTAGCAAAAACTAAAGTTTAACTTTATAACAAAAACTTGTTATACACTCATTAGATGAACTCAATTTAATTGAGGGCACAATTTCCATTCAATAAATCTGTTTGGCACCAAATAAAAAAAAAAAAAAAAATTAACAATTAAATGCAATTGAGTTGGTCCAACATGGTTTTATCAAATAAAGGTTTAAATAAGGGATGCCCCAATCAGGTTTTGAGTCATTTTCAAGTCACCCTTGAGTCATTTGATTTTGAGTATCTACCGATACCGAAACCCAATCTGATAATTCTAAAATACATTAAAAAAAGAATAAAGTAGAGCAAAGAAACAGATTTAGGATGTTCCTTATTTTTTTATTTAATTCTACTTATTTTAACATTTAACAACTCAGCTAACAAACAGAGCACTTCTGTGAGGTAGCTTGAACAATCAAGTCATAAATAACATCAATTCTTCACTTTTAGACTTTAGAGCAGCAGTAAATATAAAAAAAATAAATATAAAAACAAATAGCACCTCAACTTAAAAGACCCGGCAGGTAATGCCAAGTTTACATATCTCACAGTTTGCTATGGCAATGTTGTCGTAATCAACTTTATTTAAAAAACATTTGTTTCGTTTCAGCTCATTTTAAACAGGTAGTTGAAACAAGCAGTAGTAAAAACTTTTTTGAGTGTGCACTAATTAATGATAGTGTGCAAGTGTGCAAACAAGTGAGAATAGCCAAATGTATTATACAGCCCAGTATGTAACTAAAAGAAAACTGTCAAAGTGACCATGGAACACAAAACCAGTGAGGTAACTTTATTCTGTTTTGAAACTGATAGTTATACACGAGTTCAAAGCTGTATGTATACGCTTTCCACTGATGTATGGTTTGTAAGGATTGGACAATATTTGGCTGAGATACAGCTATCTGAAAATCTGGAATCTGAAAGTTAAAAAAAATCTAAATATTGAGAAAATCGTCCTTAAAAGTTGTCCAAATTAAGTCCAAAATAAGCAATGCATATTACTAACAAAAACTTGACTTTGATATATTTACAGTAGGAAATTTACATGGAACAATCCCTTTCCTTGATATTCTAATGATTACTGCTATAAAAATCGCAATATAAAAACATATAACATGGACAACATTTGTTTTAAATTTGAACAATGTAAGCATTCTAGTTTTGTTTCCAATGCATGAGAATGAACAAAAACTCTAATGATAATACACAAACATAGACATATCCATATTCAAGCATTACTTCCACGTTCATTTACCAGTTTTACTTCACAAAGAACAGACAAATATTTCATTTACAATAATTATACCTAAATTCAGCATTATTACTTTTCAGGTTTTGTTCCAATAGTCAGGGATACTCAAGCTGAGAGGATCTCCCATTTTAACTCATTTTGATTCCGTTTGTAAATTCAGTGAATCATTTTCTAGAGAATTGCTCTGACAAAATCTTTTGAATGAGTGAGCTATTGAATGGACATTTGCTATGAACAGAATTACAGAGTCATTTACTAAAAACTCTCACTGGATCATCTGAATCAGTGAGCGGTTAACTGTAGATTCACTCAGACTAGATCATTTGAATAGATGAGTAGTTGACTCAGTTCAAAAACAAATTGTTCAGTGTAATCTGTGGGCCATATAACAACAAACAGATAAGATTCAGCTCATTCATAAAGGTTTGTTAAAATAAACTGAAAAAAAGCGTCGTGAAGTAAAACTACAGTGCTCAGCATAACTGATCGCATTAATATTTTCATCCATTTCTCAGTGAATATAGGCAATGTAATTTGGTGCATTTAAGCAAAACAGATTTATTAAACAGATATATTCATGAAAATAAAATTTAGTCCCCAAACATATTTAGAAATTGAAAGATAATATAATTAAATTCAAGCTAAATATTGCAACAACTTTTTTTGCTTCTCTTAATTTTTCGTCATTTTTAAATTTGTATTTAATATTTTTCTATAACATAAATTTAGGTGTACTAGTTTTTGGCCTGTTAGTTATCATAAATCGTAAGTTATTTTGTTAGATAAGCTCCAGATTTGGCTTCAGTACTGGCTAATCTACTGTATATGCACAAATATAATAGCTTTCTATAAAAAAATATAAATTTAAACGAGAGATTTGTGAGGGGAATACTCATATATGCTGAGCACTGTAATTTGTTACTGTCCACCACTGCTCAAAATCTATTTCTGACGAGCAAAAGCCACGTCGGCAGTTCAACTGGAGTGCAAAGGGCAAATGAATCATCTTTACTCATGACTGTATTGACGCATTTATTGGAGTGTTTTTTTCCCCGTTCAATGTTGTTTACCAAACGAGAATACGTAAATTCCAGATGATTATTATTTTTTAAAATCTCAATTATACCTGACGTTAATTGTGTGCAGAGATTTCTATCGCGCCCACAGTATTGTTTCCATCTCTCGCCGGAGCCCCATGTGCAGTCATCATTTATCCAATTATGTTTTGTTGACTGTTTTCACTTTCAGTGGTAAGTTTTCAACAACAACAACACACACAGATGTACCTCCCAGGCACGTCGCGAACCGCAGTCCCTTAACCGTTTAGCGCAGCATTCATTCGGTCTGACTAATTACTTCCATATTTGACCATCTCTAAAACCCTAAACTAGCACCAGACCGTGCTATAAATGTTACTCAAACCCCAACCGAACATTAAACATGCGCATCTATCAATTATCATTAACAAGAGTTGAAGCTCTGCGCGCACCACCGTGGCCATTTGTGCGTGTGTGTGCATAAAACAGTCATAATGAGAGTGCTGCATTACAGTTCTGCGATAATCATCAGCCAAAAAAAAAAAATCCCCACATGCGAATGGAGTTATGTTCAATAGGAGGGCTCTGCACTTATGGCAAAGTAATGAAACTCAGGCTCAAACTGAATGATGTCAGCTGTGGCATCAATATAGCATGACATAGTTACCAGAGTGTCACTTTTGCTTAGGCATAATGCAACCACAGAGGGAAAAAATGGCCGAGGGCTGCTTGGCAGCAGTAATTCAAACAGAGAAATAAAGGGGGGAGAAAAAAAGAAACACAGCACTCCCTGGTCTGGTTGTGCTGCAAGCGGTGAGCAGGTTTTTTAGGAACATAATGAGACGTGACTCCGGCATGCTGTGGATCTCTTGCGATAAGTCAGTTTTTCAGCTCACACCGGTCAAGACTTTTACACTCCTACAGCTGCTCAGCTCAAACTGTCCCATGAAACTGCAGAGCATTTACTGTTCTCTAACCTAAAACAACCCTGCTTCCTCAAACACCAGCATCAAGACCTCAGCGGGCTGCTCGAGGGCCAAAAATGAGCCTTAGATATATTCTGATGCAAACAACATATGCAACTAACGCTATAAATGTGGAGTAGCATTGTGAAATACTACAGTTGTGTGTATTGAATATAAACAAATCAATATGAAAATTAATTTCTATGGAAATTAAGAAGGTACAGATTTCACCACTTCAATATGTTCCTTCTGCTGCCGTCCTTGCCACCGCTTCGGAGGTAGTAGGTATTATTACTACTACTACTACTACAAATAATACTAATAATATATCCATAATGCTGGGATGCTTTGTGCACTGACTGCATATCTAGGTCAAAAGCACCTGTTGCACGGCATAGGCTAGCCTATAGTGCAAGTGGACTGAAAAATTTTTTTTATACTGTGTGCTATTTTATCCTATCCTAAACATAGCCAACATTCAAAAAATAAATAAATTAAAAAATTAATAAAATTATATATATATATATATATATATATATATATATATATATATATATATATTGTTTTTTTTTTTTTTTTTTTTTTTTTTTTTATAAAAGCACATTTTAATGTTTAAGCAATGTTTATTGTCTACACATCTGGGTCAGCCTAAATACCGCATATATATATATAATTTAAATATATAAAATAAAAAATAAATAAATAAAAATATATAATTTAAGCTCATTATAAATTAGCTATTTATAATTATAAATTTCTATATATTTATTAAAACCAACGTGATTCTCTCCATATATGCTCTTTATTCTTGCAGGACGAATAACTCGCTTTAGCCTACTAATAATTACTTATTATTTTTATTACTAGTTTTTAGATTACTATATGTTTAAAAGCAAAATTGTTAATCCTTATTTCACCTAAAGTTCACAATGAAATAAAAATAGAAATAAAGCATGTTAAGTTTTGATGATTAATGAAGGAATTATAATGTTGTTTTTTTTCATAGTTTCATCTTCATTTACAAGCAGCAGAATATTTACACCTACTGTATAGCCTATTTCTCTCCGTTTGCATCCCATCCCCTTGTGCCTCTTGGTATTTACAAACTTGGTTATTTACAAACTCACAAATAACGTTAAAGCAATTTTACAAAGACATTAACATTCTTCTTCACCGGTGTCAAAGTTTATACTTTGACATTTACCTAATGGGACATTTAATAGTATATATAATGGGATAATTACCATAGTCGTAAACTGCGGTCATACACGTTCTTACCCCTTTATAACGGCGGCAGTACTAGGCATGGCAGTAATGCTCATTTTAAAGTGTCACCCACTGTATGGGCCACATGCATCAAGGATAACTATGAAGAAATCATATGGGTCAAAGGAAAAAATGGTATAGTAAATTGTTTTATACTGTATATATTATAGTATTTGTAGGCCTGTCACAATAATCAATATATCAACTTATTATGCAATACTTGGAGATGACCTACATTATTTTTGCCGTTT